TCGCCACACCAGAGGGGGTGGTGGTGCAGACCTCGCGGGGGAGGGGGTGGAGACTGGAGGCAGGCATCACACAAAGCATCGTGAGGAACCTCAGAACAGAACCAGCCTGCTCCCACGGGGCCCATGCCTCGGCCGCTTTAGTCCCGGGCACACGGGGGAATATGCTCACGGGATTCACGTGTTCCATTCCCAAACATGGGCTGAGAGGTCAAGAAAATGTCTGCCTTTATCCTGCAAACCACCTGTGGGTGCCGGGTCACAGCCGTGTGTGTGTGTTGATGGTACTTTTTGCAGAATTTTTCCTACGTGAGAAGCATATTCCCAGGGCCGGAGGGCCTGGCGAAGAGTCACAGGACGGGGGAGGACTGTTGCAACCCACAGACACACGTGCCTTAGAGAGAATTGGGGACCGAATCGTTTGCTCGTGCACTCACCGTACCACCGTCACGTAGCCGAATTTCAGAGCCCCTTCGAGTTTGCTGGTTTGCTCGTTGAACCTCCGCGCCGCTGCAGAAGCAAACGAAGGGTGGCGGCGGCGGCCCTGGGAACCGCCCAGAGGAAGTCCTGGGCTGAGGGGCAGACGTTTGTCACAATATGCGCTTGTCCGGTGCTAGGCAGACTCTATTATTGCAGGGGAAGGGAAGAGCATTGTTGACTTCAGACAGACAACGTCCTGTCTGAACCTCGAAAGTGACACGGTTCCCTCCCCGTACGAACGCACATGGTCCCCTCTCTGGGAAACGGGTGGACCCTTTCCACCCTCCGGCTCACGTCCAGGAGGCCGTCACACGGGTTTTGTAGCACATCCACCTCAAGGGCTACTCTTACCTGAAGGGATTGTTCTCACGTGATGACAGCACCTGTTTGTCATCGGCTTCAAAACTCATCAGTCCAAACAGCCTTTACAAATTCTTTCTGTGGTCACATGCTCTGACAATACTGAAGACGGGTGATTTTAAAATGCGTGCATTGGTGATTTGGCGTCTCCGCCAAAGTCTTACAATGTTTCTGTAGTCACGATGCGCTCGTGGCTCCAAGGCACTAATCGGACGCCCCCTGGTATGGGCGGCCATGCAGACAGAGGAAGGGGAAGTGTACTTCTGAGAGTTAAAGTCGGTGGCCAAAAATCTGGCAACAACGCGAATAAATGCATGCCTTAAATAGGTTAGAAACTCTCTGGCGGTAAAGCGGTCTTCCATTCCACTAATGTTGATGAATAGTGTCGTTCTGAATATTACATCTTCATTTTCGGTGTTACCTCGGAGAAACTTGAGCCCTGTTCTTGCAAGAGTGCTTTGCCAGGGTCGCCCGAGCAGAGGCACATCCTGTGTTGATATCACAGATTTTGGAAACTGAAGCAGAGATGTCTAATGTGGAGTTGGCATGTGTCTGGCATCCTGTCTTGCGCACAGTAGGTACACGTTTTTAGTGTTAAGGAGAAGATAATGTAGAGTTCCGTAGCACAGGTTCAAATCCCATTTCCCGTGAAGAAATGACCCGAACCACTTTGAACAACGTGGTGACATGTCTTCCCGGGATGCTTTCCATTCTGGTCCTATAATTGCCGGCTTCTATCTGTCTACTTTTATTGTCATTTTACTTATTGTTAGCTGTGCTGTGGCTCCTTGCCCAAAGTACTACATTCCTCTGGGACTCGCTTGCACATCCGCACAACGGTCACCGTGGTATCTATTTTACAGTACTTACTGAGCAACTGCTGTGCTCCAGGCGCTGCCTACGTCCTGAACGTGCTTACGGGGAATGAGAAGTCACGGGGTTTGCATCCCGAAGGGAGAAGACAGGCCACAGATCAGTGCAGTGGCTCCGTCGTCCTTATCTATCAATCTGGCACACTACACACCTTTGCTTTTTTTAAACTCCTGCCTGTGTATCATCCGAAGCCCCCTCATTCCTAGACACTTTCCTCACACGCTCCGGGTCTCTCCCTCCTTCCATGCTGCTGTGAGCACAGCGCGGAGGGTCCGGTGCTAGAAGGTTCTGCAGGAAGCCATTGAGTTTTCCTGCTCCGTGTCATCCCCAGGGTGCTACTGAGGCGCCTGCATTCCGGTCCGAGTGGCCTCTGCGGGTCCAGGGGTGCCCTCCGCCGCCATGCCTGCGCCACTCTCGAAGCCACGAAAATAATTCTCCTCTTTACAAGTCGTGCCGAGATGCAGGCATCTCGGGGATCTCTTCATAACGACAGCCCCCCGGCACTCCACACGTCGGTTTAGCGTGGGATCCTGTTACCGCTGCAGGTCTCAGGTGTGCCCTGCTCTCCTGACACGCCAGGTAGTAGTGTCGCCTCTTCAAGGCTGCATCTGCCAGGGGAGCCCAGCGGGGCCTCTGTCTCTCAGGTGCCGGGAATCTCTGCCCTCATCCACTCCCCTTTCCCCCTCTTCCTAACCCTCCGTGAGAACATTTTCTAGTCTAAGGGGATCTTTATGTCCTAACTTCTAGTGCTTTCCAACATTTTAGTCATAGCGCACATCCTTAGTGTGTCTGCTTTCCTGCAGAAATTCTTTCCAGCACCAAAGACTGTGCCTGGCCACAGGCCTGCACACTGGTTGCTAGTGAGATGCCACTGGTTTGTATGGCACATTCAGGTCACTCCCCGCTGTTTCCGGGCCCTCAGCCCTGCAGCCCTCCAGCCCTCCAGCAGAGGGTGGAGGCAGTAGAGGGACCCCCAGATGTCTCTGGAGACTCACACCCCCAGCCCCAGACTTGCCACCAAGCATCGGGCAGGCTGCTCTCCCGGGGCCCCGTGCATCCCCAGCTCTGTCGGCTCCCCGATGCTCCTCTTTGCAGCCAAAAAATGCTCTCCTGGTCTGGGGCCCGGGGGGCAACCCCTCCTACCTCCCACGGTGTTTCCCCAAATGTTGTGGTTACACCCCAGCCCTCTCCACTCCACCCAGCAGCCTGGGTGCTAGGCAGCCCGCAACAGACTCAGACTCTGTTCAGTCTCCATCATCCCCCCTCTCCTGGGGGTGACACAGTAAAGCTGCTGTCAGAACTGAGAGAGGTCAGGCAGAGCACGGACGCAAAGAGGGACATTTCCAGAGGAACAACACACTTCAAAGAGCATGTCATTATTTTCTCTCTCTAACCCAGCACACAAGCAGACAAATGGACAGGAGGACAGCTGACGGCAGTGCACACCCCGAAGAGAATGAGTGTGGTGGTGTGACAGAGGGTGAAGGGCACAGGGCTCAGCAGGAGCTTTGTCCCTGACGTCCTGCCCCCCCACAGTCCAGCCTCACAGTCACCTCCTCCGAGAGGAGAGGCTCCGCCCCCAATGGCACTGAGACGCAGCCTGTTGCTATGGGCCCCTGAGCCCCTTGCCCCCTCCTCACGTGTGATCCTAGGAAGGAAGGAAGGGTCTAGATCAAGGTCGACCGCAGCTCACAGGCCGGGTCCAGCCTGTCACCTGTTTCTGTGGTGATCCTGAGCGAGGTTGGGTTTTCCGTCTTTAAGTGGTTGAAACAAACACACAAAGACGACGACTGTCTCACAACGTGGGACAATTTGGTGAAGCGGAAATTTCTTAGTCAATCCTCTGAATGCAGCCACACTCAGTCATTCACGTGTTGTCCGGCTGCCGTCACGACAGTCCCGGCAGAACTGCTCTGTGGTGACAGGTGTCGCCGGCCCCTGGCCCGGACGGGGAGGGGCTGCCCACCGTGGTCTCACCCAGAGCGCGGCCCGCGCGAGCGTCCCCGACACCGAGGGTGCACACCAGTGACCTCCCTTTCACGTGGTTGGTGCGGAGGGTGTTCCGTTTTGAATTTGCATTCACAGCCTTCAGATGAAGTAAGTCTCCCGTCCACACGAGGACTTGAGCATTAGGACACAAACTATGCCGCTGTGTACGTGTGTACCTCCTGAAATCATCACGCGTGCGACTGCCCTGAGCCACGGCGGGCTCTTCCAGGACACCTGCGGCCTCCTGGGTGGGAAAGAAGGACACAGCCCGTGGGCTTCAGTGGGCCCATCAGTGGGGAACCGAGTGGTGGCTGTCAAGACACGAACTAAGTACATTGTAAGTCACCCACACAAAATGAAGTGTAAACTGTGAAGACCATGGGGACTTTTATTAACAGGAACCTGAAAATCAGCCGTCTTTCCCACAGACTTCCCCAAAGAGCGCTCCTGTCCTGTGATCATTCGGGTGCTGCTTGAGCACCCTCCAAGGAAGAGAGCCCACGGTGGGTGGGGCAGTGGGTGCCCCTGTCTGTGCCCCCTCGTTGGGGAAACTTTCTATACTTGACCTACCACCTGCTTCGCCGGCCCCTTCACCCACTTAGGCCGGGCTTAGAAAGCGTCCTGTGACTCCTCCCCTCCTCCCTCTGCCCCTGCCCAGCCCCAGCACCTCTACCTCCCCAGTTACCTTTGACCTGAGCTAAAAATAAAACGGGCTTGCCTCCCTTGAGAACTGACTGGCTGGCTGCCTGTGGCCGGGCTGGACAGTCTCACTGGTGGGAGAGAGGCTAGGATCAGGGTGTTTCCGTGGACCTCCAGAACAGCCACGTGGTCACACGTGCTTGTGTGCACATGCGTGCCTGTTCTCACGCAGTTGTAAATACGCATGTAGCTGTGAGGTCATAGGATGCGCTGTCTTCAAGGGGATGTGAAGATGCTCTTAAGGTGACTCAGAAAGGCCAGCCCCAGAAGGGTCCTGAGCAGGTGCGATCGGAGCAGCTTCCTAGCTCCCCAGGTACGTGCTTGCTGCAGAGGGCAGCAGCCCCTGGCTGCACTTACAAATGCTGCCGACAGCATTACGAATCACTCTTTCATCGGGGTCTTTTTACGGGTTGCGGGTTTTTTGGCTTAAAAAAAAAACATGTTCTGAATTTGTCGGTCTTTAAACATGCTGTGAAGTAAATGAGGAAAGACAGAGAGGACAGCGAAGGCGCGGCTGTCGCCACCTCTGTCTGCACATGTTACCCTATTCGCACGTCGACATGGAGGTGGCCGCCGCGTAACGATGTCCTCCTGTCCCGCAGGCATTTCCTATTCAAAACCGGGACAGGGACCACGCCGCTGTTCAGCACCGCGACCCCAGGGTACACGATGGCTTCTGGCTCTGTCTACTCGCCGCCCACTCGGCCGCTACCTAGAAACACCCTGTCGAGAAGCGCTTTCAAGTTCAAGAAGTCTTCGAAGTACTGCAGCTGGAAGTGCACGGCGCTGTGTGCCGTAGGCGTCTCCGTGCTGCTGGCCGTGCTCCTGTCCTACTTCATAGGTAAGAGCCGGGCTCAAAACTGTTTTGTCTGCACGTCGGGGCCTCGTACTGTTGTTTTTGTTGGTTTTGTCTATGCATTTGGTCGAGAAGTCTATCCCGAGGTTATAGTTTCTGGGGAAGGGGTTGGTCATAATGCATTGTAATGGCAAGGTGGTTGAAGTGATTTCTAACAAATTTAGATGAACAGAAAAGCTTTCTTTGCATAAAGAATGAGTTACTTTCTCGGACGCAAACTATAGTGTACATCTGTGGTTGACTTATTCCTCGTGGAAACGTGGGTAAGTTTGCCATTTCACGTACACAAAATAATCCGGGCACTTTCGGGAAGGGGCACGATGCAGGGACCTCCCACGCACGGTGCACGGTGCACAGGGAACTTTGCTACTTGGCCACATCACACACCTTTAGAGCTACCTCACGTAAACCTCATCACTCGGGACCGTCCTCCTGCACTCGGGAACGTGGTCCCGAGAACCGTGCGTCCACGCAACAACAAAAGGCTTTTCTGCTCGTTCCTGTACGTGGGTTTGTCATTTCCTCTGAGGTAGCGCTGACCATGGTTCTCACTTCCCAGCAACCCAAGCGGTGGGAGCTGCTTGTGAAAGCTATGGATTTTCCTTTTGCCTCTTTCATAACCCGTGCGAGCATCCGCACTGGTGGAGGTGGTTGGTTCAAACGTCAGAAGTGACCACATCAGATTTGGGTTGCTTCCGAGCGTGGGGAAAGGCCTGCCACGTCGAAATGCTGAGGGGGTCCCCCGAGAGAGACCCCAGGCTGTGTGGCTCAGAGCAAGACCGACAAGAGCAACGGTCAGCGCAGCAGTTTCAAGTTTACAAATCAGTTTGCAGTGCCCCGAGAGGTTCTGTGACCACGTGAGACTCCCACAGGGCTGTCTGTGGAGCGGTATGGTGCTCGTGCCTCGGACCCGTGTCCACCGTTAGCTGCCATGTTCCTTAGTTACAAATCACGTGCTTTGGAGTCAGGACACTTAAGAGACAAGTAGAGTGTAGAGCGTGAAGGAACTCAAAGAGGTGATTGAGTCAGGGATGGCCACTGCACGGCATGTCACGTGCTGCCACCTCCTGTCCTTTGACCAGGCAGACACCACTGATGAGTCAGCGTCTTTCCAGTGACCCCAGCCCCAGCCCCCCAGGCCTCAGCACGTGCTCAGTGCGTCCGGTGCACCTTGCAGGGCCGCTGTCCGTCTGGGCTGAAAGCCAGGTGACACCCTTTTGTCCGTTTCCAATCAAAGTTTACTCTGTCCTTGTGAAAAGGGCCATATCAGGTCCCCGGGAGGCTGTGGCTCGGCCGAGATCACGCAGTGGGGGGAGCGGGGCGGTGCTCTTCCGTGGCACTCCAGGTCAGGGCGGGGGGCGCGCACAGGGACGAAACTCAGTACTCGGAGCCGGTTCCCGGCGTGCAGCTGTCAGGAGGACCCCCCTGTCCCGTCAGCCGGGCCAGGTACTTCTGTCCGCCGGCTGCATGCTGCCGACGCATGCTGCAGGGTCCTGAAGTACATCCATCACAAATGGGGTGCAATAGGTTCAGCTTATGTTTTCGGAAGGGATTTTTTTCACTCTAGTGCAGGCCGAACAGATGCCTGCCGTGCAGGGAGGGCCTGGGGTCCGTGTGGCTGCGCTGTTCTCAGACGTGCCTCCTCACCCTGCCCGGCCCCACCCATCGCCCCTCATGTGCGGGCATCGGCGCTGACACCCTTGCATTCTGTGTAATGTCAGATTGGATCACTGTTGTTTGTGAGACATGTTCCCTTTTCAAGGATCCTTTCGTGAATATAATTATTAGAGTTCTAAGTAAAGGCTCAAATATTTCTTTTTCAAATTGCCCATTTTTACTGTTTCATAGTTAGCATCATCCTTTATTCCTACGGGTACCACGCTCAAAAACTCCTCCCTTTGACGTTAGCTGCCCCCACACGGACACATAACAAATTGTATAGTTAACGTGGGTACCCACCAGGGTACAGGTGTTTGTTGGAGATTCCTTATGACCCAGTTATTGTGCCAGAAACTAAGGTGCTGCAATCCAAGGGTTACCTGGAAAAAATTAGTTTGATCCTCAAAGAATTATCTCATACTCTTTATTGCTTTAATTAAGCAGAAACATACTGAGAATTTCACTGGTCTTCCTCTGCTTAAATGACTCACACTTCATGCAGTGGGTTGTTTTGTTTTGTTTTCTTTGTATCAGGTAAAGAATATACTTTCTTCATCCGTTAGCTTGATAAATGTTTTTGGACTAATGATACCGCCTTTACCCTTGGGGAAAAAAACAGGGCTCTTCTCTCAGGGAAAGTGTTCATTCCCATGGAGTGTGCATGGAGAGGATGCCCCTTCCTGTCCAGGGAGATCGCTCTGATAAGCCCCAAATCAGCGGGGAAACCAGCGTCATCCCCAGACTGACCTCACGACCTTTAATGAAGCGCCGTCATCCTTAAACTTGCTTCCCAGACCCTAGGAGGTCCGCACTCTCTCACGTTGCCTGTCCGTGTAAAGTCACAGCCTGAAGAAATATGCAAAGGAAAAAGCTCGAGGAATTGTTTCTACCCCAGACTTTCTTTCTCACCTTCCAATAGGGTCATGAGCAGTTATGAAGACGTGGCGTTAACGGGTCTCTTCCCTGAGGTCAAGGTTATTTCAGGGCAGTCAAGGTGCATAACTTCTGAAATGGGGGCAAAGGGGAGGGAGGCGGGCTTTGTTGTTTCTTTGTTTTTCCATTCCCACAAAAGATTACAGAGAATAAAGGAGAGATGAAAAAGAAAGTGAAAATTAATTCCCCTAGATCACTATTAACTTTTTGCATAGGTGGCCACTGTTAACATTCTGGTGTACACCCTCCAGATACTTTTCCATGCGTACGTAGGTCTGACGTTCCGTATTTTTAATGCATTTGCACCAGGCTTTCTCACTCATCGTGCGTTAAACATTGTGTGTGTGTAACTTTATTTAATGGCTGTTTTGAATTAAGCAGTTCCCCAAAATGCAGTGACTTTTCTTCTGTAAGTATGTGTTTCTGTGTGCAGGTGGGTTCAGTTGATCACATTTTTTATTAGAATAAATTCTTTGAAAGAAATTGCAGTGCCAGGAATGTTTTAGGCATGTTTTAAATTTGCAAGCTGTGGCCAAATTACTCCCTAGTTTGCACAATGACCAATGCTTTGTATTATCAGTATTTTTAACCTTTGTGAATCTGTTAGGCTGAAACATTTTATTGTTGTTTTCATTTCTTATTAGTAGTGCTGAATATCTTCTCATACACTTATGGGCCATTTTTATTTCTTTTTATATGTGTGGATAGCCTAGTATCCCACATTTTTCTGTTGGGAATATTCTACTCTTTGTGATTTACAAGTGTTTATTTATTAAGGATATTAGTCATTTGTCATGTTTCCCAATTGCATATTAACTTGGTTCATATTCGTATTCCTTATACCATACGGAAATTTTAAATTAATCTCATTTATCAGTTTTTTTCATAGTTTCTTATATTTTATGCTATACCTATAAAGTCCTTATTTACTCTTAATATTATTTTTTTAAGTCACTTAAATTTTCTTCTGGTGCTTCTATGGTTTCTTAATAACCATTGTGAGGTCAACATTTTTCTGGACACCCTAACAGATGGTAGAGGTTCAAATGAGCGCTCCATTCTAGAAACTCATAGTCAAGTGACAAAGACACTTCTAACAGCACAGGCTTTCATAGCCACATGGTCCATGGGAGCAAAACAGAGAGGAGAGAAGAAAAGTAGCTCAGGCCGAAGCTGCTGGGGAAAGACTTGATCTCGCAGGTGATTCTTAGGAGGTGAAGAGGAGCTCAGTTTACTGGACTTAATGCCAGAGTGGTTAGTGGGAGACGACCTTCAAAGGAGGTCGTGCAAGGCGAGGAAAGAAACAGACATGAAACATCTACAGTGGTCACGTGGGGTGCTCACCAGGCACTGGGCTCCAGGCTGTGTGTGAATGACCTCATTTAACTTTCACCACAGCGCTTTGAGTCACTAGCTCCATGGAACACAGAGGAATCGACTGCTCAGAGAGGTCCCGTGTCGGAAGTCGCAGCGCCCGCACGTGACGAGGCTGGACTGGAAGCTGGGGGCTGGCAACTGGAGGATGCCACTCCTCCACACTGCCTCTCGTGAAGTTTTCGAAGAACTGAAAAGTCAAAGCGTTTATGTTTTTAAACGATTGCGTTAGTGGTGTTCCAAAACATGGAATCTGAAGAAAGGTGGTCCAGACTAGGACTTTTCAAACTTTAATGGTCCTAGGAATCACGGGGAGATCTTGTGAAAACTCGTATTCGGATTCAGGGGATTTGTTGTGAGAACCGAGGAGGGTCTGTATCTCAGACGGGCGGCCGGCGGTGCTGCTGTGGCCCGCCGACCACGCCTGGGGGAGCAGGCCGGCGGGCCGGCAGGGTCAAACGCTGCGCTGAGTGAGGACGTGACCACTTCAGCGCTAATTCAGTGGCCGCCAGACACGTGTGACTCTCAAGCGCTCAAAATGTGGCCCCTGCAACTAAGGGGCTGGAATTTACATTTTATTATTGTTAATAAATTTCAACCTTAGACAGCCACGTGTGGGTAGTGGCTCTCACCTGGACAGGACAAGGACAGATGACCTGTTAGAAAATTCGGCCAAATGGGAGATCGTGAGGCTGTGCGTGGGTAGAGGAGTGGCAGAGTGGAGAGACTCTGGCTGGCACGTGATGGGACGGGTGTGCCATGCCCTGTCACCTCCCCATTCTTCGCAACCCGATGTCCACGCCTGGACACGTGACAGACCTCTTGTCAACAGTCACATCAGGATTTCTGTTAGACTGCTGAGCCCCAGATTCAAAGCCTGCTCCAGTGCATTCGTCTGTAAGCGGGTGTGTCTGTACACAATGAAAATCTACTGGTTTCTAAACACACACATTACATTGGATCATAATAGTGATATGGGCATGTAAAAAAAAATCTTGTCCCTACACTTCCTGGGCCCT